GAAACTTGTCAGCCCTTCTGGTTCTCTCAGGTTTCTAAGTTTAAATTTGTTTCTTTCTTTTTTTTTTTTTTTTTTTTTTTTTTTTTTTTTTTTTTTTTTTTTTTTTTTTTGCTTTTTGGGTGGCCTTGCATTTTGTTACACCCCTAATTCCACTCAAATTTGACACTGTGTGAAGACACAAAAGATAATATTCATTTTAAAACTCAGCTATTTTGTAGAATGAATCATTCAAAAATTTAGCTGCAAGTCAACCTATAAATATATCTAATTTGGAATTAAGAAAAACTGACAAGGCAGGGGTGGTAGCACACGTCTGTAATCCCAGCACTCATGCGGCTGAGGCAGGAGGATCGTTGCGAGTTTGAGACCAGCCTGGACTACAAAGTGAGCTCAAGGCCAGCCTGAGCTGCAGAGCGAGACCTTGTCTCAAACAGACAAAAATAAATAAATAAATAAAAACTGACAAAGGTGGTATGGTTTTTGGAGTTTGGATGGTATGATTTATGGTACTTGACTTGCTATGGATTTGCCTGTGTGGGGAGGTCACAAGGTTCATGAGAATGTTCCACACGATACACGCACACAGGACATCATTTGATCCTATGCAAAACACTGTGCAAACCTATATTGTGCTTTATAAACAAATGGAGACTAAAGAATAAGTTCAAAACTACAGATTTAAGATTTATTATAAACAAGTCTTTTCTGTCTTGAAAATATAGCAGGGTAAATGGACTTGTGCTTGAGTGATAAAAATTTGATGTAAACAGGCACCTTTCTAAGAATAATGTTGTTTAAGTATATTTTAAATTGTAAATAGGAAGAACTTATTTATTACTATTGGTTTATGTTTGTGATCTGGAATAATTACATTTGTTTTGGGGAATTTTTATATATGGTCAATATACAATATCTTGAGTGACAGCTATATAGATATCTCTATGTGTATCATATCTTCATCATTTGTGATCCCCTACCCTCAAGAACCAAATAAATTTATACTTTTATTATTTAAATATGTTCTGCATTCTGAAACTCTAATTTTTAAGAAAATATTTTATATCTTATCTCGCTGAATATTATTTAATGATCTTTATTTCCACACATTTCTGGGGCTGGGGATTTAGCTCAGCGGCACAGCACTTGCCTGGCAAGCACAATGTTGTGAGTTCAATTCCCGGTACCGGAAAAAAAAAACAAAAAAACAAAAAACAAAAAATCTACACATTTCTGTATTATGATCCAATACTAGGATTTCCCAAACTCTGGTCTTTTGTGTTTTTTAGGTGCATCTAAGTGTCCTATGACTTCCTCTGTCTTAAAAATTTACATCTGCACTTAAGAAATATGGTCTCAGTCCCATCAGTCATTCCTCTATTGTTTTTTTTTCCTGTTTTCTCCAGCAGTCTTAGGAATTGAGTAAATTATCACTGTAGTTTAGGGGAAGATTTTTGTAACTCAAAATGCTAAATCTTTCTGCTCTAAGACCTGTCCTCCCCTCCTCTCCCCTCTCCTCCCCTCCCCTCTCCTCCCTTCTC